TATGTACTTCTGCCATTTGAGCACAAGAGCAGGCAAGGATGTAATTAGGTCCCACCTTCTGTACGGAAAACCTGTAAGTATGAAATTTTCCCATGATTATTGTTGATTATATTACTGAAATTGACATCCACTATTATATTTCAGAGCATTTGGTAGCACTCTTGGTGTGCCGCCAAGGTAAGTACTATATTATAGTATACAAAATATCTCGATGTGCACATAATCAATTTTAGTTTTTGTTTTCCACGTTTTACCATGACACATATTAATAATTTCATGTAATGGATATGCCTGATTCAAGTTTACAGGTATTGCTTTTTTGATGTATGCTTTTATATTTATCATTAGTCACTCAAGAATGATGTGTTCTTATTATTACTGTTTATTCATGCTTTCTTATTTGTGTCCTTTATTTACATTCTTATTCTATGTTCTGGTCATGTTTATTAACCAATTAAAAATTTAAACCTTATTTCACATGGTAAATTTCTACTTGTTTGCATGTATTTCTTTCTATTTCATTTCATTTCTCTTGTTCTTGCCATTTGCATTTCATTGTTTATTCACAATTTTGCATCTGAGCAGAAGTGAGTATTGTGCAATTATGCATTTTGAATTGATAATCAGTGCTTATTAGTGAGTGGCATCGTTGTTATGCATAGCGATATGTTGTTGACTTTTGGGTTACTTCGCCTATCTAAATCGATTCAATCTCTTCCATGAGATTTGTTTGAAAAGTAGAAATCTCCTGCGTTTATCATGTGAAGGGTTACATTATTAAAAATTGAATCTTTCTATCCTTATTATTTGATTATACAAAGTAACTGAGGTCCTATTTAACCATATTACAAAAGGTAATAGGATTCATTTGGTTGACAGACAGACGGGGAAATACAGACGGAGCTTTGAAAAATCGAACTTTGATGTTCAGCATCTTGAACAAGCCACCCCTGGTCAGGGCGGTGCTCTGCCCAATAGTAGACGTACATTTGGAAGACACTTTTGATTTATTCCTCCATTGAAATATTTCATCTTCAATTTTACGCTTTTAATATTTGGTTTTTCAGTTTCGAAGTGGCAACATTTCCATAGAATTGAGGTCTTTTTTTATCCTTTAGGTAACATGTTGGGTTCTTGTTATTACATAAGCCCTTCAATTATGAGTTGCTGATGAACTTGATTCGGTGTAGATACATCAAACGAAGAAAATGAGATCAACTATCCCAAAAAGTCCTAATTTTATGCATAGCCCTTTGAATGAACAATTAAGATTTGTTATTTCCTAAAAGGTTATCCATATATTAAGGTATGTTGTTTCTGTATTTTTCTCCTTCTCCTTTATACCTGAGAGTTGTATTTGTTATTCATTGCTTATGCAGGTCCTAACTAGAATCAAGGCTAAAGCTTCTATCTATTTTACCCAATTTTCTTTGCCTGTTTGTTGGATAACCACCGAGCCATAGGTTGCTTTTCAGGTAATGGATATGCCTGATACAAATTTGCAACTATTACTTGTTGTCATATATGCTTTTATACTTATCGTTAGTCACTCAAAAATGATGTACTTTTTTTTATTACTGTTCATTCATGTATTCTTATTTGTGGCCTTTATTTACATTCTTATTTTGTGTTCTGGTCATGTTTATTAACACACAAGCCTTTCTGGAATGTGAATGACAAAATTTTCTTCCCAATCTACTTTCTATTTGCCAACATTACCACGTTACCCTATTTATTTTATCTTCAAAATTATTTATTTTTAAAAAAGGGTATTAAACTTTCCTATTTGCTGAAATGTTATGCTTTGTTTTTCTAAACTCACTGTCGAAACCATAATTACAATTTTAAACTTCTTATTTAAAGATATGTAAATACTTAGTATTTTCCTGCATCTTCATGTAACTGTTTCTTCATGTAACTGTAATTAGATTTATTTCATTTTCAGCCTAGATGAGATCAGTTCAAAATTAAATAATAATAGGACCCATAATAATGTAAAATAATCAACTGCCAAATCATTTTGCTTTAAACCAAACCAAATCCAAAAGTTTTACTTCGAATATAAAAAACCAGTATTAATAACGTTTTCAATGTGTCGAAATATAACGAGCAAAATATAAAAAACCTAACTCACTGTTAAAACTTCAAAACATATATTTCATACCAAATCAAATGAGAAATATTTAATAAAAATATTTTGAAATGCTGAATAAATTTAATAAAAAATATTTTGAAATACTGAATAAATCAATCTAACCGTTCATAATAATTACAATTCATTTTCAATGTAACGACATAATAAATAAAATAAAACAAATTCCATTTTTTCCCTTTTTTAATGTGCCAACATAATCAATCAAATGTATGATCTTACTATTAGAAGTTAAAAGATTTCACAATTCATACCATGTTCAATGAAAAATATAAAACATACTAAACAGAATACTACACATTGTTTAATTATGATTTGTCTTTATTTATTAATACTTAACAAAATAAAATGTTTTCCCTCTGTAATACCAGTTTGACTCTTAAACCGCACACCCTTATAAACCCAGGCCCGTCATTAATTTTTGGTTGTTTGAGTGATTTGTTTTTTTTTAATAACTTTTGAACTGCAACCCTATCTTTAATTCTTTGAAAAAGCCTCATTTAATTCAATCATAATAAACCAGCTGCATGCGCAGCCAATAAACGTCGACTTGCCGCCCCTTCCCATCCCAAGGCAATACTAAACGCACCTTCACCCTCACCCTTCCCTTCCCTTACCTTCACCTGTCGACTACTCACCCAGTTGCTGCCATCGAATGCGCCGTACACTTGCCTGAAACCTTCACCGAAGTTATTTCTTCCTTGCTCCTGCCGGAGACCTTCACTAAGGTAACTTCTTCCTCCTACCTTCCAACTCTCTGCCATGAACAACTACTCTCTGCTATTCCATATTTTCATTTCATTTTCGTATACAAAAATTTGCATTGTTTGAAAACAACCCATGAATGTTATATGCATGCGTTTGGGGTTTTATTCTGCCCCCTGTTCACTTTCTTTTATGGTCCAACTTTTGGTATTCATCTTCGTGTATTTTTATATTTCATGTGTCCACAACCCTTCAATACATTCATCCAAGTGACTCCTTTGCAATTGGGATATTAGTTTTGTTTTTGTATTTCTTAAACCAAAGCATACCTATACAATGTAACGCCCATATCTCTTTCAGTTTGTGTTTTTTTTCCTTCCTTTTTTGTATGCTGTTATTGGATTTTTGTTTTAGAATTCTGCACTGTGGTGTTTTAAAGTCTGTAGTGTGAAGGCGTAGGAGTTAATTTAACTCCCTATAAGCTCTTCATTGGGGTAATGTTTGTTACAGGTGTGAATCTAAACATTCTGTTCTGTGTGAGATATCTGTTTACCCTCTCTCAATAGGTTACTTGTTTTGATGCCTCATATTATGTGGTGGTTGGAATTCTGAATTTAAATACGAGGGTCTTTGGTTATACAAAAATGGTTTAAATCCAGAATACCCAAACTTGTTATACAACTGGTTTGTTGCTCTCATAATGTGTGCCCAACTGACTTGATTTTTCTAAAATGTGTTCTTGTGTGTTCTTATGAACAGGAATTGCTTTTAGGAAAAAATGGTTTAATTGTTGTGTGGACAGACTTCATTTAGAATTACTCTAAGTTGATCATCCTCATTCTAAAAGTTTAATCTGAACCAATGTTTACTAAAACATTGTTTCCAAAATTTCTTAATTTTTTTTATTTGTTTTAAATTTTTAATACTTTATCTTAACACTAAACTTATCACTTGTTCATAAAGCTTTTCAAACTTATGGTCTTTTTACTGTTTCCGGGGGATTGAAGAAGGTCAAATTCCCCTTAAAGCAGATTATTCAATCAAATCATATGAAGTAATATCTAAGTAGCATTGTGCAGATCTATTTTCCCAAATATCCTTCGCGTTCATGCCCCTAATTGTCAAATTCATTAGGTAAGATGTTATTAGCTGATTGTCAAATAATAGTTGTTTTGGGTATTTTCTATTTTCCTACCTATTATTATATTCAATTTAAAAAACGTTTGCGTTTTTTCAATTCTTAATTACCATCGTATGAAATCTTTCCTCAATCTTTCATTTCACCTTTGTTTAGTTTCCTTTCTTTGATTAATGGCAATTCTTTGTATTATATTTCATGTTTGTGCAAACTTTCGAGCCCATTTAGAAATAGAATTACCCCTACTCACTTTCTTTTATGGTCCAACTTTTGGTATTCATCTTCATGTATTTTTTATATTTCATATGCCCTCAAACCTTCAATACATTCATCCAAATGACTCCTTTGCAATTTTGGTGTGCATGGGAAAATGTATAGCTTCGTTGCAACATAAAAGAATTGTGCATACGAATTTCACCACTTGGTTTCCTATAGTTTAACGCCAAAACACAGGAGGAATTGTTCGTATTTGATGCTAATTCCCACTTTGCAAATTTATTTAACAAATATGTGTACATATCTGAAAAGTTTTACGGCTTCCTCCTCATTTATGCTCTACTACGATTGCTTGAAGAATAACTCAACTGAATTCAAACGAAATCAAAGAATTCATATCCTTCCTAAACTTGGTATAAAACCTGCTATACTCACATTAGAATTCTAATTACTTCATTTTTTAAAAACCCCTTTACCCATCTTTTTTCTACCTTTTTTTAAAGAAGTTTACTTTTATATGCATGTATACATACTCTGTTAGACACTGGATTTCTTGAACAGAACACATATATACCTACAACCATTTCATCATTCGTTGTTCATTATGGTGCCCATCCCCCCTCAATGTCATCTCCCTCTCTTGACCCCCCCCACCCCCACCCCCCGTACGTAGCAACTTTTACTCATTTATTTCACTTTTTTAGTCACATGGACCTATTCAGCACCTATACTGTCGAAAACACCATTGCCAATGGAGGTGTTAATACTGTCACGTATTTCCTCCACACTGTTCACGGGAGGAAAATAGATGTTGCCGTTATCACTCAAAGAGCAAACCACCAATACACCTGTCAAACAAGCACAGATTGGCAGCACTTTTTGACTGCCTCTGGGTTTGACAGACTACTACCTATGCGCTTCAGGAGTAAAGACGATGTCGAGCACAAGATTAATCATTTATTCGCACGCAGGCTTACAATGCCCCCACTCACAGGTCATTCCCCAATCCCTATTTTTTATACATATGCATAGCAATACTATTCCTTTTGTTTGTTATTTTGATGCTCTTCTCTCTTTGACTTCTCTCATATTTATTCCTCATCCTATGCAGCATGCCCGAATAGCAGCACAATCCATTGTCCGGATGTTTTTGGCAGCTCCCTGGTCTGGTGCATGCTGGATATGCAAGATTTTGAAAGAGTGGTCAGGTCCTTACACCAATTGCGTTCCTTGTACTTCAATACATTATGTTGTTTAATCTACTGAAACCTGTTTCTTTTAACCCTTCCCTTTTAGAAAATACCTCCGTGCATGCACCGACATTTATTCGAACACACAAAATCAGAGGCTATATTAAGGTATAGCAATACTGCTTGGCCAGTGACTGTTAGAGGTTACACTTTTGACCATGAATTTACCAACTTCCTGGTAGAGAATGACATTCCATTTGACACCTTTGTGCTTCTGCGCCACATTGGCAATTTCATTTTTGATGTACTCCTGTTTAACACTGACGGCTACTCTCGCAACCTGGCTGAACCACATAATTCTAACATCCAACCCAACCTTCCTGGGGGTATGTTTCTTGTATATTCATAACACCTTTCCAATTACGTCCCCTTCACACTAATTCTTTGTGAATTTGTCTTTTTTGTGTTTTTTTTACTGTACAGAACACTTCTTTGTGTATGCACAGTCTGCAATTCCAAACTGTTCCTACAGGAAACTGTTTCGCCCCCCTTCATTTCTTTACATCCCCACACAAACTGCAGTGGTACAAATTCTCATTACTCGCTTATTAATTTGAATACTTTTAGCTAAATCAGCCCTGACTTCTCTTATGTCTGCAGTCAGCCTGCGAAGCATTCCTCAACACCTGCTGCGATGCCAGGGGCAAAATCCTGATTATGTATGGTGAAGAGCAAGACCCTTTCTATGGCGGTGAGATGGATTTGCTACAAGAAATACAGTTCAATTTCCACATTGACCCAACTTGTAGCCTTGTTTTTATCAAGTCCAGTGGCAGCAGAATTAAGTTGCTAGCGCTTTCCAAGTGCAACGTTGAAGAACCCCCGCATCAAAGCCATACATATGAGCTCAAAAGCCAAGTTTCCACCCATACTTCAGCCCAATCTTAACTTCTTTCTTGTTAGTTTATAATTTATGCTATGTTCTTTTGATTAACTTGTCTGACTCCCCCTACCATGCCTAAGACAATTATCCTAAACTGCTGCTTTTTTTGGAATCACCCCTCGTTTCAGTTGTATTACCGATGCAAAGTTACTGGTTCTGCGCTTGTGTTTCACTGTAACACTACTTTTACTTTTGCAATTATGTCAAACACTATCATTACTCTTATTATTCAATTCGTTTCCTCATTTCTCTTCCCCATTGCCCACCATTACTCATTGATACTCACTTTCTTGCTGTGATGTTTTGTTTCATCTTTGTTTCCCAAATAGAAACAAAATAAAAGAAAAATTTTTGTGTTAAATATTTACTCTTGTTGAAACTTTCTTCAATTACATCTTCACAAATACTTACTTTTATGTCATAAAAAAATTGAATGACTGATTGCTTTTATGTTTCTTGCTTACTTCTATTATCCTTTTCACATATTAATCTTGCATTCATTTCATACCCGAATTCTATACCTCCCATTGGGCGCAACAACCGCGCAAAGCGCGGATCCTCGCTAGTTTACATAATACTCCGTAATTCCATATCTTTTACTCCGTATCATTTATACATTACTCATACAGTCATACGATGGACTAGCCTACATGGAATAATTAGGTTTTTTAACATTTTACCTTTTAAACTAAGAGCCCGTTTGATAGCACCAAAATCGGCTGTTTTGGCTGATTCTGCTGAAATTTATGATATTCTGGCTGGAGTGGCTGTTTTGGCTGATTCTGCTGATTTAAGAAAAAAATATTTTAAAAATATATTTTATTAATAAATTAAAGAAAATATTATATGTAAAAATAGCTAAAATGGTCCTCTACAGTAACTTCAGCCAATACAGCCAGAAAAGTAACTCCAACCTTACTTTTTCGGCTTATTACACAATTCAGCGCGCGAAAGTAAAAGTTACGTGTTTGGTGAAAAAGCTGGCTGATAAGCCGATAAGCCGAAAACAGAGTTCTCCAAACGGGCTCTAATACGAAGTAGAAATTATTTGCCGCTGCTTGCCGACATGAGAGCTCTGGCCTTTCTTGCTTTCTTCTTCTACGGCTGAGAGAAAAAGAAGTAATTAACATCTTCGAAGCTTCAATCGTGGACTGTGCACATCCTTTTTCTTCAACGTCCCAGCACAGCAGCACTCCAAGTTCTCCCTAATTCGTACTTTATCACTTTCTTATGGTGGTTTCATCTGGGTTTTGTATTTCAGAATTTTGTCAAACATTGAGTATAAAAACAGATTAGCATGTAAGTTCCTCCATAGCTCCTACTTGCAAAGACGATAGACATTAGTTTTAGTTAATTTTAGTTTATTAAATACTAGCTACTCCGTATGTAAAAAGTATGATATCAACAACAATAGCTCCTGTAGAAGTGCTAAATATGTTAATTGCTAAGTTACTTTTGTGAAATACTAATACGGAGTATAAAAACTGATTACATTTTAGTTCAAAGGTTTATATTTTTATTTTATTTCATACTTTTGCTATTGAGAATGACAACTTAGTCCTGCAAAAATAATTAAAATAGCTCCTGCACAAGTGCTAAATATGTTGAAAAATGCTAAAGGTACCCCAATTGGTACCCCCAATTTGTACCCCACTCTATTTTTGTGGATCACAAAAGCACCTCATTAAAGTTGGGCAATTCATTTATTGAGGTGTGCTTTTGTGAGTCACAAAAATAGGCTGGAGTACAAATTGGGGTATCAATTGAGGTACCTCTAGCAGGGTTGAAATATGTTAGTTGCTAAGTTACATTTGTGAAATACTAATATAAAAAACTGATTACATTTTAGTTCAATCAAAGGTTTATATTTCTTTTATTTCATGCTTTTGCTATATATAATGTAATCGTTAAGTTTGAAAAAATTCGTATTTATAATGATTTGAACTTCGAATGTTTTTTTATGTAGCATAAATTAAATCGTGTTCATTTTTAGAAATATTACACTATTTTTAGGAACCGAAAAAAGTCCAGAACCGAACCGTTTAAACCTTGTTCGGTTCTAAAACGGTTCTGCTTTTTTTATTAGAACCAAACCGTTTTTAAGAATCACATTTTTTAAAACGGTTCTTATAATTTTTAACCGGAACCGAACCGGTCCCAGGTCTATTGGATTATCATTATCCGGAAGCCACGGTTCAGTCCAGATATTAATATCACTCCCCTTTCCAATTCTCCAATAATATCCTCTTTTAACAATGTCCTGGGCCTGAAAAATACTTTGCCAGATAAAAGGATTATTCCCCAACTTAGAAGACAAAAAACTTCCATCTCAAAAATACCGGGCTTTATAGATCTTTCCTACCAAAGAATCCGGTTCTGAAAAAAATTTCCAGGCTTGTTTAGCAATCATAGCAATATTAAATTCTTTAAGACGTTTGAAACCCAGACCACCTACTTTTTTTTGGCGACACATACAATCACAGGCCCTCCAACGAATTCCTTTACCCGACTTCCCCTACCACCAATATCCATTGTGACAACCCGAAAATTTAAGTAAAATAAATAAATATTTTTGTTTTGTTTTTATCGTCTAAATATTTTTGTTAATCAAATAAAATGTTACAAAATGTGACATTTTAAGGTTGACTAGGTAAAATTTTAACAGCACACAAAAGTGACATTTTTATTTTAACAAATGTGGGTTAATAGTATATGTACCATGTATGTATAAAATTAAAATAAAATTATACGACATTCCATAATTGAGCATTAATTAAAATAGTATTAACCATTATAATACTATGTAAATCTATACTACTATACGTATATGCCGGCCCACATGTACAAAAATTTAAACATGGTATAATCACTACAAAAAAATAACGCTGTACTCACGGATTTAGTCACGGACCGCAGTGTAAAAAATCCGTGACTAACTCTTTTAGTCACGGATTTGTTCCGTGACTAAATCCGTGACTGTTTGGGCGTGACTAAATTTAGTCACGCCACATTGTCTGTGACTAAATGTAGTCACGGATTAGTCACAGACCAGATCCGTGACTAAAATGTCACCGGAATAGCTGCTCCGGCACTTTAGTCACGGCTAAGATCTGTGATTACTTTTTTTTTTATTTTTTTTTAGTCACGGATGTGTCCGTGAATAAGATTTTTTTTTTTTAAATTCGGCCATTTTAGTCACGGCAATTTCCATGACTACGTTTTTAAATTTTGAAATTTCAAAAACCCGCGGTTCGCATTTTCAAAATTTTCAAATTTCATATTACTCACGGTCATGAATCTGTGACTAATTTGTTTTTTTTTAAAAAAAATAAATTTTAAATTAATAAAAAGAAATCCGGACTAAAAATTTAGTCACGATCCGTGACTAAATTTTTTGTTTTTTTAAAAAAAAATCCATTTTTAAAAAAACAAAATTAAAACTTATTTTAATTTTTCTTAAAATTAAAATTAAAATAAAAAATTTATCAGGAAAAATATTATATTTTCAAAAGTATAGCAATTATACCATTAAATAAAAAAACAAAATTCATACACTCATACACAATAAAAGTGTGTTGCAAACTGAAATTATAAAAATAATGTTAAATGTTAATGATAAAACTGTACTATTACATGTCCAGCCTTCGGACTCCATTATGATAAAAATTAGGATTATCATTATCAAATTCATCATCATCATCATCATCATCCTCATCTTCGGGCTCCATGGTGTCTTCGGGTCGGGTTCCTCCTCGGTTGCCTCCTCGGCTACCTCCTCGGTTCGCTCCACGGCTAGATCCTCCGGATGATTGAAATTGATTCAAGAAACCATACGACAGAGATCCGAATGCCGGATCCATCATAGGCATGCTACTATATCCGGAGTGAGAATGATAACCCATGTTGCCCATGTGCGGAACTTGAGGAATCTGCTCGGGGTGCAATATGTACGGCCGAGGATGAGGTTGATATCCGGCGTTTAAGATCCGCTCCATCGCTTCCAGCCGGGCTCTTGTTTCTTCATCCTTCTTCCGTTGTTGTTCTAATGCCCGCTGCTGCTCCTCCAATTCTCACTGCATTTGGGCGATGCGTGGATCCTCTCCCTGCCCTGATCGAGAAGATGAAGTTCCGGTGGTGCGGTCATACAAAATCTGTTGACCCTCAGCCCCCATGCACGGAACCCGACCCTTGTACACTCCAGCGGCCTCAAGGATCGCATCATCTTCCACATCAGAATCGATCTCATCCTCCTGGTCAAGCCTAATTCCGCCCGCTTCTTCTCAACATTTGTGTTGTACTTCGTCTACATGTACAAAAATTATTGAAAGGTTATTTACTTCGATTTGAAATGTTACTAAATAAGGAAATTGATGTTACTTACTTCGATTTCGGCGAGGCGGGGTGGCAGATCGGCTTCCGACTCATCGCCGTGCTTTGTCCAACAATGTTTTATGACCTTGAGGATCGAGACCTTCTTCTTCTCAGGCCCCGCCTACATGGTTCGAAAAAAAACTTAAAATTCATAAATAAATGTAGAAAATGAAGGGTTGTAATGACGTAAGGTTTTTTTGAATAGGACTTACAAGAGCTTCTCTATGTTTACTCTGAGGTTTGCGACCCCCGTGCCATTGGGTCTCCAAGGCCTTCTCAGACATCCGATTTTTCTTACCGGATTCGCTCCTTGCCAAGAAGTTTGGATCAGAAGACCAGTGGTGGACGAGGTTGGCCCACACCTCATCCGAACACCATCTAGGCTGCCGCCCTTGCACTCAGGCACGCCTAAAAGTGGGCCGAAGCCAGTTCGAAATCCTGGCATTATAGGCTCTAAGAATAGCGGGGCCTTGTGCTTCAGTCCATCGAAACCGGCCCTTTATTTAAAAAAGGGATGAATTAATATTTTGGTATATATTAGGGTACTACAATTAATCAGGGAACATTCATTTATTTTTACCTTGAACAGGTTCCACCATAGTTCACGGACCTTGGGGTCAACATCCGTGTAGGTTGCCCAGTTCCCAAGAAAGTGTCCACCAATTATGAGTTTTATTTGGTCCAGCACATCTTGATCGTTTCAAAAAATTAATGATATTTTTTTATATCCATTTTGGTTAGATTATTTCACATTAGATAAAATTATTTGACATTAGGTAAAGTTCATAGTTACTTACTTAGCAACCATGTGAGGTGTCACCCAAACCGCATTTTCATTGTTGCGCTCTGCTTCGGTTAAGGGCGCATAGTTCGGGCGGGTACGCGAGGTTGATTGTTCATTGCTCATCTAAAAATATATTAATTTGTATATTTAAAATGTTAGTGGGAATATAATTGAAGATCAAAATTTTATTGAAAATGTGTATAACATGTTAAACTATGTTTAAGTTTAATATGAGGGAATGATATTTTTTTCAATTAATTATTTTTAACTTTGAAACAATACATTTTTGTATTGATTGCACTTAAAGGTAACATGTTAAACTTTTTGGCAAGTTTACATGAGGGGCATTATTTGTTTTGAAGTATTATAAAAATCAATTTGTATAAGGAAATAATAAATAACTCGATTTAGAAAAACAGTTTTTACAACTAATAAAAAATCTGTTTTGAAACAGTTTGTGATTAATAGTTATTAAATAGTTTACTTTTACAACTAATAAAAAAACAGTTTATTAGTCAAACTGTTTTTCAATATTTCCTTATAAAACTAATAAGGAAACTGTTTTTTATTAGTTTTTGAATTAAGATTTTCCAAAAACAGTTTTTACAAAATTCTGTTTTTAACAAATAAAAATATATTTTATAAAAAAACAGTTTAACAATAAAATCAGTTTTTACAAAAAACTGATAAAAATAAGTTTTCACAAAAAAAACGTTTTTACAAAAAAAAAACTGTTTTTACAAAAAAAATCGTTTTTGTAGTTTTAAACTCTATTTTCATAAAAACAGTTTCAGAAATATATAGTTTACATAATTTCGTATATATAATTTAAAACATTTTTTAATTTACCTATTTAACCCAATATATAGTTTATTAAACAGTTTTTATATTTAATTCTAAATTAATTTTGGAAAACAGTTTTATTTTTTACAGTTTTATTTCGTATATACAGTGTTTTTTTTATTCGAAAATAGTTTGTTCGTTATTTTAAACATGTTAAACGTTTTGCAAGTTTAACATGAAGGGGGCATTTTTTTTAAATAATTCGGGAATATCTAATAAATGTCCAAAAAATAATTCCAAAAATAGCATAAGAACATTCGAATAATCATGCATATAGTTTAAACAAAAAAAAATTCATGTTTAAGCATGGATATTAGACATTCAAACAAAAAAAGAAGGTACCAAACTATAATATAAGTATGCATATTATGGTTTACACATCAAACTAAGAACAAAAACATAAATTTTATCAAATTATGCATGCATTTTATTCGGATGTATTAAAATTAGCATATTCGGATATGCATTTCGGAAATTAAAGAATTGAAAATTAAAGTAGCATGAATATACAAAATAGAACATGAATGTTGAAAACTAAAGTATGCATTTAAGTATATACATCATGCATTCGGATATATTAATATAAACAGAGCATGCATATAAATTACAATAACAACAAAACATGCATTTTTAAAAAATTAAAAAATTTATAATTAATTATTAAAATACGAAAAAAATAGAAGTTGAGATTTGAAAACATAACCTCGATGGCGGCGGAAGGCGGCAAACGGCGGACGGCTGATTGAGAAGGACGGCGGATGACAGAGACCGGCGGCGGTTGCTACGTCGACGGCGGCGCTGCTAGCGGAACTGGTATCCAGAGGAAGAAGGGAGAAGAGAGAGTAGGGAAGGGAGAAGGGAGAGAAGGGATCGATTTAGGGTTGAGATAGAAAAAAAATCGCTAAGTGTTCTTTATATATCACATCGTAGTCACGGATTTAGTCACGGATAAATCCGTGACTATGCCAACGAAATTGCCGAATTTAGATAACGGAAGGCGAGGTGTCAGCGGCCGTCATTGACCGGTTTAGTCACGGTCTAATCCGTGACTAAAACCGTGACTAAATTCAAAATTTTGAATTAGTCACGGTCTTAGTCACGGATTAGACCGTGACTAAACCGGTCAATGACGGCCGCTAACACCTCGCCTTCCGCCAGTCTGAAATCGGCAGTAACGACAGGTTAGTCACGGATAAAGCCGTGACTAAGACCGTGACAACTTCAAATTTTTAGTATAAATCATCCTTCTCCGGCCCAAGAATGGTGTGGAAAAAAAATGGCTAATAGATATCCAATTGACTGGGATTCCATGTGTAGAAGTATGAAATGACTTAAGCTAATTACACAGCTTATGGAGCCGAAAACCGTTGAAGCATACGAGAGAATCAAGGAGTTGATGTCTAGACCCCTTAAAAGTTTTGGCGATTATAAAGATGAGGAATCCGACTCATTCGGCAAGTCAAAAGCAAAAAACTTGTGTCGGATGCTTCAACGTGCACAAGAATGTTCAGAGTATATGGACCCGATCAACGAAGAAGCTCGAAGGAAAATTCACGAGTTGTGGGCTAGACCTCTTGAAAGTTTCCGGTTGAGGAATGAATAGTGTTAGTTAGGTTAATGTGATAAATAAATTGTGTGTTTTGTACTTATCTTTTAAATTTGATAAATAAATCCGTGTTAGTTGTTTATTAATATCTAAATTTATTATAATATTCAGATTAGTAAAAGTAAATTAATTTTTTTTGAATTTTCAAATTTTGTTAATTTTGTATATTTAGAATTATTAAAATTAATTTTCGAATTTCGAATTATTAAAAGTATGGAGTAATTTTCGAATTTTTTTGAATTGTAAATTAATATTTTTTTTTTGAATTTTCAATTTTTTTTACATGGATATAATATGGAGTAATTTTAAATTTCGTATTATGGTAATTTTAATTTTCAAAATTCGAATTATTAAAAATTATATTTTGAATTTATAATATGGATATAAAAAACTTGTTGTTGTTGAATTAATATGGAGTAATTTTTATTTCACAAATAATAATGATGAAGAAAAAAATCAAATATTGTTGGAGTAATATAATGATGAAGAAAAGAGCACAAATATTCGAAGTCAATAAAATTGAAATTACAACAACACAATTACTCGCTGTCAGAATCGTTATTTTCTACATATACAGCGTCTTCTTCTGTATCAGAACCGTCTATCTATTCTCCTTCTTCCTGATATTGAGCATTTTGTTGTTCTTCATGCATTTGAATAATTTCGCGCTCAGATGGAGGTGTTAGGTCCGGAAGGTGCGTTTCTGGCATGACTTCAACACTTCCGCCATTTGGATCACTTAACTGAATGTGATGGTTGACCGTCTCAACAATTAGCGGAGGTTGGCAAAATTGTTGCTGAAAAGCATCTAAATCAACGTCCTTGTGTTGAGTTTGTGATACAATTTTGCTCGGACGGACAGTACATGCACACACCCAAGGATTCTGTGTCCGTCTGGTTGAAGGGTATTCTGCATAATAAACCTGGGCTGCTTGTTGAGCGAGTATAAAAGGCTCATTTTTCCTATACACGCGAGAGTGGTTGACGTCAATCATATTATATTTTGAATTTTTTCTCACCACGCGTTGGATCGACCCATTTGCAGCTGAACAAAACGCATGTCAAAATTTTCCCAGCAGAAGGCATTTCAAATTCGAGAATGTCATGCAAGACACCAAAAAAATTGGATTCCGAGTTATCATAACTGATGGTTGGGACACATAACCCGCTGTTCACTGTTGGTCGGCCCTGTCCGTAATTGACCGTGTGGTAGTTGTAACCGTTTATCACATATGACCGCCAAACTTTGGCGTAGGCACCAGGGTCCCACGATAATGCTACTAACAGAGGGTCCACAATCCCACGGCTATTGATCTGTAAAATATAACATGATAACATTGGGTAATTATTACAAATTATTACTTAATAATATATATAATTTATGTGTGTATATATATACCTGATACTTGAACCACGGCGGCACAGCACAAAATCAGAGTCCACCATTGCATCAATTTCATTATCAGGGAATGCTGAGAGCTCCGCTCTAAATTCACTGTGAAGTCAAACATGAAAATATTATAAATCAACTAGCTGATATAATTGTATATATATTACAATTATATATAGAAATTTAACTTACTGATAAAACGGTAAGATTTCTAAACAATTCATGAGGATATAAGTATACGCAATTTGTAATTCTCCGCCCACGACGTATTGGTGTGTCGCAGCTCCTTTACCTCTACCTGGGTAATTGAAAATGGAAACTACATTTTTGTATAAATCCTCGCCAATGTCATCGTTCCGGGCAGGTCTCTTTCTTCTAGTGATGACTTCACGCTCAAAATAAAAAGATGAGAACGTGGAGATTTCTTGTTGAAGATACGCTTGACAAATTGAAGCCTCAACGTGTGCCTTGTTGGTCACTTTCTTTTTCAACTCTCCAAGAAACCTGCAATGTAAAATCAAGGTGGTAAACAGATTAATGTTGTTATGAAATAAATATTCAAAGATAAATGAAATTGTGACTAACCTTTCAAATCTGTACATCCAGCGATAGAAGACGGGGCCAGCAGTCAAAGCCTCATACAGAAGATGTATTACAAGATGTTCCATTCTATCGAAAAACGATGGAGGCATTATCTTTTCCAAATTACACATCAGTATAGGAACAGACTCTTCTAGTCTCCGGAGGGATGCTGCATCCAAAACGCTGGAACATATATATATCGTTTGAAACAACAAACTGATCTCAGTAATGCAGGACCATACGTGTTCAGAAAGCATCTCTTTCAGTGCAATTGGGAGAAGTCTTTGCATGATTACATGAGCATCGTGAGTTTTCATGCTCGACGTCGTTGTAAGTTTGTTCATGTCCACGCATCTGGACAAGTTGGAGCAGTAGCCATCTGGAAACTTCAGAGACACAAGCCATTGTAATATTGATTCCTTTTGTGCTTCTGTGACTTGGTAGACTGCTTTTGGAATATTGTTACCAGTATATTCTAGATCAACAGAAAGTTCGGGTCTGTCACACCAAATAGTCATATCTTTTCTAGATGCAAGACCGTCTTTAGTTTTGCCTTTGAAATCCATCACTGTGTTAAATATATTGTCAAACATGTTCTTCTCAGTGTGCATGACATCTATGTTGTGACGAATGAGAAGGTCTTTCCAATATGGTAACTCCCAAAATATACTCCTCTTTGTCCACTTATGGGTATCACAAAACCCATATGGCATCTTATTTGGCTCTTGCACAGCCGTAGGAATACATCGAACCCGGTTAAAAATTGTTTCCCCGGTCAATCTCGGGGGTGGGGTGTCTCGTACCACCCTACCTCTAATGAAAGACTTTTTGTCCTTTCGATATCGGTGGTTTTCCGGGAGAAACTTGCGGTGACAATCAAAGTAACTTGGTTTTTTACTAAAAATTAGTCAATTTGCACCTGATTTCTCCATGCATATCGGACATCCCATAAGACCGTGTGTGCTCCACCCCGAAAGCATGCCATAGGCAGGGAAGTCGTTAATGGTCCAAATGATGGCAGCTTTCATGATAAAATTTTGATCCCTTGAAACATCATAAGTTGGTGTTCCAATGGCCCAAAGTTCTTTCATCTCCTCAATAAGGGGTTGGAGATAAATGTCTATCTTTTTTCCTGGATCATTGGGACCCGGACAAATTAAAGTCAAAAATATAAAGTGACTCTTCATGCACATGTCGGGAGGGAGATTGTAAGGAGTTAACATGACCGGCCAACATGAATAGTTCTTCCCAAACCTTCCAAATGGAGCAAATCCATCTGAACACAATCCCAGTCGCACATTTCGTGGCTCCATTGCAAACTGAGGATGACAACGGTCAAAGTGTCTCCAAGCTTCACAGTCCGAAGGGTGAGACATAATACCCTCTTTGGTTTTGTGCTCGACATGCCATGTCATGTGTTTCGCAGTAGCAGACGAAGCGTACATCCTCTGAAGTCGTGGAGCTATTGGGAGGTAATACAGTTTAGATAATGCCGACCTATTTCGTGGTTTGCTTTTACTTTGAGGAACAGGTTTGTATCTGTCTCCACCACAGAACTTGCAGAATTCAAGTGCCTCATCATCCTTCCAGAACAACATACATCCCTCCGGGCATGCATCAATTTCTATACAAGGTAGCCCCAACTTAGACATTAATTGTTTCATGTGGTAATATGAATCGGGAAGGTTATGATCACACGGTAGCATCCCTCCTACTGACTGCAAGACGCTAGTCATGAAAGTTTCAGGGAGACTGTATTCAGCTTTTATGTTCATAAACTCTGTAACGGCGGATAGCTGAGAGTATCCCTCACAATCAGCATACAGGGGTTGATCGGCAGCTTTTAAAACATCTTGAAATCTCTCAGCTAAACCTTCATCCACATAAGGTTGATAAAATATCGGATTTTCATCCGCAACTGGTTGATACGAGGTCGAGGCTTCAGGAGGATCGTCAGATGGTTGTGGGGGGTTGAACTGAGACATCGATGCACCGTATGCGTCATATACCATACGTTGCTCCCATCTCATTTCAGCAGGGTCTCCCCACGCACTCATCTCTGCAGGGACGTTACGAGACGAACCTACCGTTTGTGGTAAAACAGATGGATCCAAAGGTTCGCCATGAGAAGTCCAATTATAATAATTGGGAACGAATCCTTCCGCGTACAAATCCCACCCAACTTCTTCTGGGTCTTTAAATTTGAGATTTTTACACTTTGAACATGGACATCTGATGTTATCACCACTCATATAAGCCGGGTGTTCTTGTGCGAACGCAATAAACTCCCCAACTCCTTCAAGAAAATTTGATCGCATTCCGTACAATATCGCATGTTTATCATACATCCAACTTCTATTAAGTCTATACATTATGCCTGAATATTATAATAAAAAAATTATACAGGTTATTAAAAACTCTGAATTATAAACATTACGTACCAATATATGTGGAGTATTGTTAATATATTCAATTTTACTAATTAAAGTTCAATGCAATTGAATATTATTAATTACAATAATGTTCAATTAATATTATTAATTAACTAGAACTAGCCAATACGTTAATATAATGTCATTAATCATTTCAATTATTAACAAATAACCAATAATATCCGTTTCAACACTAAATACACTAAATTATTACGTTAATGACATTTAATCTTATTAGTAATACACAATTAACAATTCACTAAATTAAATAATATGACCAAATCCAATAATTTGAGCACATATATAAACTCATTTGAATTAATAAACAATACACAATTCACAATAATAATGCACAAAATATAAGTAATGTTTTAATCCAAACTAAATTTAACTAATTCGTTTCGTTAATTAAATAACAACCCTTTTTAAACACATTTCAATTAATTAATATTTAAATTTAACTAACATTATCAAAAGTTTAACTAATTTAACTTAATTAGCTAAAATGTACGTTTAGCTAACTAATTTTACTTAATTTAACTTAATGCATCACTACGTTTAAACCTACGTTACGTTTAGCTAACTAATTTCACTTAATTAACACATCACTACGTTTAAAACTACATTACGTTTAGTTAACTAATTTGACTTACCACATCACTACGTTTAAAACTACGTTTAGCTAACTAATTTTAATTAAATTATTTTATAAACCTAAAAATTTAACTAATTTTATGACATCACTACGTTTATAGTTAAATATGTTGTTAATTAATTAACAACCTCACTAATTTAATAGTTTTAATAATTTAAATTGAACCAACTAATTCTAAATAAAAGTAATAATTTAAATAACATACCTTGTTTGCATAAACAGGGAAAATGACATAAGATAGACTACATCCTTCGATCTTTCAAACAACTATTGTATTATATACTGGGAATGAATTGGTGTGGCTCTGTTGAATGAGCTGCTCCTGCATATATAAAAAATTTAGTCACGGACTTAGTCACGGATTTGGTCGTCACTAAACAAAACCGTGTACATTACGCGTCCAAACCGTGTAAAATGACGTGTAAACTACGTGTGCGAATAATTTTATTCGATTTAGTCACGGAATTAGTCACGGACATTTCCGTGACTAAATTTATCCGTACAGAATACCGTTGCAAATTAATTTCTGAGCATTGGAAAATTAATTTTTTTTAGTAGACACGGATTTAGTCACGGATGTGTCCGTGACTAAGTCGCCGGTGTAAAACAAACCCCGCCGGAAACGGAATCAGAGCTATCGGACCATTTTAGTCACAGATCTGACCGTGACTAAATTTAGTCACGGTCATAGTCACGGTCAGATCCGTGACTATTTTTTTTAAACATTTGTGACTAGTCCGTGACAAACTAGTCACGGACCAAATCCGTGACTAAAATCCGTGACTAGAACGCTGTTTTTTTGTAGTGAATAGGAATAAAATAAGAGTAATAAGTTGTGCTGACTTTTCATACTCCAGCCATAGTGCCATACCTATATAAGCAACAATTAATTTTTCCGTAAAGCTTATACTAGGTACATGAAACCTTCATGCATGTAAACCTCCCATATGCATTTAGCTAACGAAGGAAACAACATTTAAGTAAAAATTAATAAGGAAGATTTGCAAACGTACGAAACGTGAGATAATATTGAAGGAGTGGTATTTAACTTTAGGATAAACTTTAGGATCTGAAATATAAGCTAGGGCCTTTGATCCTCCCTATAAATAGGAGACTAAACCTTCGATTTCTTTCATTCCCAAAAGTTCCGATCAGTATATACATATAACATATACGTAGTACATATATACTCCGTAAGATTTTTGAACCGTACGATAAACCCAAAACCCATAGTTAAAACACACAACCACAATCTTCTTTCGAATGAGAGGATTCCAACGAATCCAGAATGGCTGATAATGATCGTCGGAAGAGGGAGAAAAGGCTTGCCGGAGTTGGCGCCGGACTGGGATTCAAGCCGGAGAACGAAGAAGAAGCCGGGCTGCTGACGTCGAACCACCTCGTTGCTGCCGGAGATGACAACGGACCCACCTTCCCTGGCTTGGACGATCTCACGAGGCGAACGCCGGAGGAGACCCGCATGCCTCGTCGCCGTCCTCCTCCTCCCCGTAAGACCAACTCTGCTTTGCATAGTACTTTTCTCCAGTATATATTTGGGTTGGGTTTGGTCGGGCCGGAATTTGATTTAACAGTACGGAGTGGTAAATAGCTGGACTAGTTAATCCCATAAAAATGCTAAATTATGTTGGACTGGCCGAAAATCCTAATACTTGGAAATGCTAATTAATTAAATAAAACCTAATGAAAGGATTATTATAATACGGAGTAATAAATGATTAAAATAAATGGTTCGAACAATTGAGTAATAAAGTAATACAAGAAGGGGGAAATCGGATAATTATAGAATAAAGGACTGATTTTGAAATCTTAATTAAAAAGGGTGATCTAGAGACCGAGTTAGAAGGCATGCACTAGGAGCGTCGCCAATGTAAGGTAAGTTTCTCTGCCGATCCAAAATGTTTTCCTCGTATTATATACTTATTATGTTCTGTGTGATTGTGTTTTGAGTTACGAATATGTGTTATTTGGAGAAGATACGAACCTAATAGTATTTTGAGAAATGCGAAAGATGTACTTTGTGGGTATTAAATATTTTTGAGACTGTTTAGAGAGATTGAGAAATATTTTGAAGTGGATCTTGATTCAAGATAAAATTGACGTTTTCATAAAAGGTAGGCATCGCGGGAGTAATCCGGGGTGTTGGTTTTCCACGTCCCTTAAAATGTGGAGAGTGGTTATTAGGGCTGCTACTACTAAGGAGTGCAGTTTGAGTTTTGAGTGACATTTGGATCTTTGATGCCTTTTAAGAAGAAGTTGTAGTAGTAGTAGTCCCTAATCATTCAGAAGTTTTAAAGGTGGGGTAGTTGGTAGACTGAGTCCTGACTACTCGTAACGACTTACTACTCGGAGGGCTTGGAATCCCTTTTAGGGGGTGTGCACACTTAAGGTAGTCGTTTCGTTTCCATTGAGCAGTTGTGGTACCGGCAAAAGTCCTGGGGTGGCTGTACATAACAACGTAACCACCGGGCTCAATTAAAAACATTGAGCACCGCCCTTCTAAATCACTAGGAAGTTAGAGAAAAAGAGATTTCGGACAAAATTCAAGAGAAGAACTACTGAGATTACTTTCAAAGAGAAGTTGAGTTTATTTGAAAAGAGTGATTAGTGAAGAAGTTTGTTTCGAGAAAGAGAAGAGAATTTTGGTGTTTTGTGAATTTTTGAAGATATAGTAATGTATGAAAAACTATTTTTGACAAACTTGATTATTTTACGGGGTTCGGTAGTACTTACTTAGCTCTAAAGCTAAATTTTGTTTCCTTTTCATTGTTTTGTTTTCTGCACTTTATTTGTGCAGGTGATGATGCTTATGTTGATTGATGATTGCTTGATTCCCGAGAGCAGTTTAGAGATGCCTTAGTCAAACTTAGTCTTGAATAAACACTTTAATTTACTTATGTTTTGAACACTAGTTTTATTTTGTTTTGTCTAGGGTTAGCCTGTGCATTCGGTTAAGAGATGACCGGATGTGGCGGTAACACCCATTTCCCTATTAACACTTCCGCTGTAATTTTCAAATGACTTTATCGATAAATAAAAGTTTTATTTCAAATATATTAGTATTTTGGGTGGGAAATTTGGGGGTGTTACACC